TGTTTCCCTGCCATCCACGATTTTCAAACATTTAAATGCATCGTCAGTCGCCATCTTTTGCTTTCCTGAAACTTTTCTTTTATTGTTCTTTCTCCTCATTAAAGTCTTCTCATTCTCTTCCACTCCCTGTAAAACCTTGCGTTTTAGGGGCATTATTGCCTTGCTTGGAGTGAAATGATTTACATATATATATATATATATATATATATATATATATATATATATATATATAAGTGAACATTGAAGTCAAGACTCAGAGGCGATAGACTGTTTCATGCTAAACGCAATCATCAGGTCCGATGATAGCCTGTAACATGAAACAGACTGTCGCCTCTGAGTGTTGACTTCAATGTTCACTTTTATATTTATATTTACATACGCTCTATCCTTGATATTGAGCACTTTATCCCATAAATACAGCACACCTTCAAACTATATTCATTCTGCTTCTTCTTCACAGACAGTGAAGGTCCTTTGTTGGAAATGGGTCTTACGCCAGATTCATGGGGAAGGTGGGTGTCATTACCTCACCGCTCTGCTCCAACGCATGTTCGTTGGCGGTGGTTGTAACATTTAGCGACCCTGACTCTTTTCGATTCAGGACTGCCTACGGGTATTTGCGTCTAAGTGAATGTAACGAACCCGACTGTAAGCTGTGATTTCTCATCCCAAGCCTTTCTCCATTACACCACCCGCACATCCAATCTTACAGCATCTGGTATTCCCAATCGCTCACCCAGCTAAGTAATGACCATGTTCGACTGCTTAACTTCAGTGATCGAGAATCAGTGTTTGAACCTGATATGTCTTTAACAAATATCATTTATCGGCATAAATTAAATAAAATTATTTACAGTTATTTATATTTACTTTCATCCGACACAAGGCACAAGAACCACTCGAGTTAGAGTAAGAGGCAAAGATTATCTGGATATGTGGAGTTAACGGTTAAACAGAGACTTCAAAAGATTAAAATTGTAGTGATTAGGAAAGCACCCTCTTGGGAGTCGGGAGAAGCTGCTCGATTAGAACTTACATTTCAATATGGAATATGAAGATAATGAAAATGGTTTGCTACAATGGGCGTGGCATGGCAGGCCTGAGCTGTAACAAGTGGAACGAGTGCGTTTTGAACACTTTCCATGGAAATAACGATAGAGCAGCAGGTGGCTCGAGAATTTTTCGTCTGTGAGAAAGGGGTTGTAGGGTAGAAAATAAGGATATCTCCTTTTATACGGATTACGCAAAACGATTCTGAGAGAATAAGAATTCTAATTAGTATTCATTATTGGTGACCTCAACATTACATATGCAAATGATATAGTGTCGATAGCAGACACGGAAAGGAAATTGCAAGAACTCACACAGAAAATAGGGAAGGTAAGAGAGAAGAAAGTAAGGAAGGAAAGCGAAAAGAAACTAGGGAAGAAAAGTGAAAGGAATGTAGTGAAGGTAAGCGCGAATAACGTAGAGAAGGAATGCGAGAAGAATGTAGAGAAAGAAAGGGAGAAGAAATTAGTGAAAGAAAGCGAAAAGAACGTAGAGAAGGAATGCGAGAAGAATGTAGAGAAAGAAAGGGAGAAGAAATTAGTGAAAGAAAGGGAGAAGAAATTAGTAAAAGAAAGGGAGAAGAAATTAGTGAAAGAAAGGAAGAAGAAATTAGTGAAAGAAAGGGAGAAGAACGTACTAAAGAAAAGTCATAAGAACGTAGAGAAGGGTTGCGAGAAGAAAGTATTGAAGGAAAGCGAGTAAAACGTAGAAAAGGAAAGCGAGAAGATCTTAGAGAGGGAACGCGGGAAGAACGTAGAGAAGGAAAGCAAGAAGAAATTAGTGAAGGAAAGCTGAAAAGAAGTAGTGAATGGAAAGGAATAACAACGTAGTAAAGAGTCGCAGGAAGAACGTAGAGAAAGAAAGCGAGAAGAAAGTAGTGAATGAAAGCGAGAAGTACGTACCGAAGGAAAGCAAGAATAACGTAGAAAAGAAATGCGAGTAGAATGTAGGAAAGGAACGCGAAAAAAAAAAAGTAATGAAATAAGGCGGGAAGAACGTAGCGAAGGAATTTGAGAAGAACGTCGAGAAAGAAAGCGAAAAGAGGGTAGTGAAGTAAAGTGAGCAGTAAGTAGAGAAGGAAAAAGAGAAGAACTTATAGAAGGAAAGTGTTGTGGAGTGATGTGGAGGCTTGTATTTGTACTAAATCGGTCCTAAAATAGGTTCGACGTACAAAACGTTAGGAACTTGATATAATAGGTAATGACACAGAGTAATCTAGTTGTGGTCACTGATACTTTAGTGTTCGACTAACGGTCGTCTGACATCGACTGACTGACTGATTTAGTCCCCCCCCTACCAACGAGGGTATCATGTTGCAACAAGGCTGGTTTAACGTGGGATCTCCGAGCCCGTGGGCTCGGCCAAAAATATGGTCATTGAATCCGTATAAACGAGTTCAGGGTCAGTTTACTTCCCCGAAATAGAATCTGCCCTTCGGCGTAGCCTTTTTCGGGTTCCTCCCCGCCCGAAGGCAGAGAGTTCAACCGATCAGCCAGTCGACTGACTGACCGACTCTCTCGTTAATCTTAATGCTCCTACTTATTATAGGTGGGAGAGTCTATTAACTATAGAATAGGTGTGTTCCACTATAACAGAAATCGAGAACATAGAGAAAGAACGCGCGAAAAACGTAGCGGAAAGAACGTATAGAAAGAAAGCGATAAGAAAGTAATAAAGGAAAGCGTGAATAACGTAGTGAAGGAAGGCGAGAAGAATGTAGAGAATATACGCGATAAGAATCAATGCTGGTCAGTCTCCTTACAGATGAAGAAGTGCTGTGAAGCAATAGAAATACGGTTCTGCAGAAGGATGCTGAGGAATACAAAGACTGAACATGAGCAACTATGAAGTTTTAGAGAAAATGGGAACAAAAAAAATATCAAAAAAAAAAAAAATCATTTACACTTAACATTAGAAAAGTTGAAATAATGAAGAAAGACAGCTTGAAAAATTTGATACGGGATATACTGAAGGCTAGCTTGTGTCCATGGCGGAACAAGGCTTAGAAGACATAACAAAAATACAATTATAAAGAGCTACAAAGGAGAGGAAAATATGGAGAGCCATGATTTCCTACGTTCTGGGCGGGGGGGCACTGCACAGAGAAGAAGACGTCTCATATGTGTTGTCTTGTTAAGGATATTATCTTTATCTTAGCTAAAGCTTTTAAAAGTAAATCGCTAAACAACACACAAACAATGATATATTCGGGTGGCATGAGAGTAACGAACGATGTTAATGTCGGCTGCTCCCATTACCCACAAAACTCTTAAAAAGCAGATTTGGCGGGAAAGAGAGAGAAAGGCAAATCATGCGAAACTGGATACTGTCAATAAATAGGACTGAACCATTTAGTGTGACATACACAGAAAACAATTTATCATAAACAATTAATTAGGAAGAAATGTACACGTGTAGTTGGAATATAAAACATCTGTACTTGGGCACCTCGACGTGGTGTAATGGTTAGAAAGCTTGTCTTGCTAGATCAATTACAACTGAGTAGTGAGTTCGATTCTCACTGGGTGACCCATACTTTCGGCCTTGTGCCACATCTAAGCCGGGCTTTGAAAATCACTATAGAATGTCCGTACTTGAAATGTGCAATTGTGTGAGTCTTTAGGACTATGAAATGTGTCCTGGTTTTGAGAGATTCATTTCGGGGGACGTTGACATGTCTAAAACAACGAGCCAATGAGAAAAGAGCTGAGTCTCGTGTCTAATGCCCAGAGAGAGAGAGAGAGAGAGAGAGAAAGAGAGAGAGAGAAGATAGAAAAAGCGGTTGCTCTTACCATTTATGTGCTCCCGCCAGCAATTCTGATTGGCCCAGCGGGAGACTCAGTAATGTCTTCTTTTGGATACGGAAGTCAGCATAACCTGCTGATTTTAATTTCCGCTCAACTCGATAGCCGCGTATAGAAAGAAGCTTAATGAATAAGAATAGTTATAACAATGAGAAATACATTAGTACCACCCCAGACGAGACTCTGCCCTTCGGCATAGCCTCATCTAGGTTTCTCTCTGCCCGAAGACAGAGAGTTCGACTAGCTTAACTGGAGACGAATCTCCAACTAATTGCCGAAGCAAGATTATTTACCTCACCACCCCGAGAGGTAGGATGTGGCACAAGGCTGTTATTTAATGCAGATTAAAACCGAGCCAGTAGGCCCCGTAAAAACGGGGTCGGGTAGACTGAACCATTTAGTGTGACATACACAGAAGACAATTTATCACAATTAGGAAGAAATGTACACGTGTAAAATGTCCGTACTTGAAAGAAGCTTAGTAAATAAGAATAGTTATGACAATGAGAAATACATTAGTACCTCTTGAATCTATCACATGCCGAACTATTAGAAATAGAGAGTTGACATTTCTAGGACCGCTATTGAGAAAAGAGGCTAGGCGAATTTGACGCTCAAAGGATATATTGTAGGCAACGGGGACATGTTTGTGTAAATGGATTGCAGAACAGGGTGTGGGAGGGATAATGAAAAGACAACCCTTAGTCTTTACATTCTTTCTAATGAGATTTGCCTGTTTCTTAATACTTTGTTAAGCTTTTGGAAGGTATCTTTCGCTATCCCAACGCGCCTTCGGATTTCGGTGTTGCATTTGTTGTCCTCTGTTTAAAAACTTGCTAGATATTGAAATTGTTGTACTTGCTTGATTTTGGCGTCTCCAATTTATATTTCGCGTGTTAAACTGTTATTTTTGTTAACAACCATACATTCTGTTTTCTTGGAAATGATAGTCTTTCCTTCTCGCTTTCATTTACAACTTTCGTCTTGCTTTCCTTCAATACTTCCTTCTCGCTTTTCTTTATTACATTCTTCTCGTTTTCCTTCTCTACGTTCTTCTCGCATTCCTTCACTATTTTCTTTCTTCTCACTTTCCTTCGCAGGCTGAGCTGTTATATTTCCTGACAACAATATATTGTCATCTTGTAAATGACAGTCCTTTCTTCTTGCTTTCATTTACAACTTTCGTCTTGTTTTTTTCAATACGTTCTCTTCGCGTTCCTTCTCTACGTTCTTCTCACATTTCTTCTTCACATTCTTCTTGCATTCCTTCATTACTTTCTTTTCGCAATCCTTCTCTACGTTCTCCACTCCTTCCTTCTCTACGTTCTTCTCTCCTTCCTTTTCTACGTTCTCCTCTCCTTCCTTTTCTACGTTCTTCTCTCCTTCCTTTTCTACGTTCTTCTCTCCTTCCTTTTCTACGTTATTCTCGCATTCCTTCACTATTTTCTTCTCACTTTCCTTCGCAGGTTGAGCTGTTATATTTCCTGACAACGATATATTGTCATCTTGTAAATGATAGTCCTTTCTCTTCGCTTTCAATTACAACTTTCGTCTTGCTTTTTTTCAATACGTTCTTCTCGTGTTCCTTCTCTACATTCTTCTTGCATTCCTTTATTACTTTCTTTTCGCAATCCTTTTCTACGTTCTTATCTCGTTCCTTTTCTACGTTTTCCACTCATCCCTTCTCTACGTTCTCCATTCGTTCCTTCTCTACATTCTTCTCGCAATCCTTCTCTCCATACTTCTGGCTTTCCTTCTCTTCGTTCTTCTCGCTTTCCACTACTTTCTTCTCGAATTCTTTCAACGCATTCTTATCAGTCTCTTTTCTTTGATTCTAACGAAATTTTCCCTTTTCTTAATACTTTGCTTAGATTTCGGAAGTCATTTTTCTCTATCCCAATGCGCCTTATTGCTTGATTCCCAGTATTTTTAATCAATTTAACTGTTGTAGTAACCTTCATTTATTTACTTGCTTTTCAGATGTTGGTGACTTACACCGGAATAATAAAAGATGAATCCGAGAGTCTGGGGCCAGTCATTTGAATTCCTCATCAGAGACCCAAGTAAGTAATTGCTTCTCGTATATGTCAAAGGATTGCAGCAAGAAGTATAGAATTTAACTACATACCAGAAAAGCAGATCCAGTCAACACGAAAATGGTATTGTCAATTACTAGTTGCTAAAGTCTCTTTTTCCAGTATTCACTGCCATAGAAGAAATTACCATAATTCCCCATGTATAATACACCTTCATCTATAATACGCACCCCTCAAATTGTGCTGAAAGTATAGGGAAAATGTTTCTACTCACCCTTAATACGCAACCCTTGTTTGGTAATCAAACCCTATAAATTGTACCTCCCTAGCCCTCGGCCAGCGTTTCCTACTCTTATTTTTTTTAAAAAATGATTTTAAACATAAAATGATAATATTCTAATTTAGTTTTATGATAATTTGTTGTAATCGAATGTCCCACTCTACCTATTGCCTATTGTGGATTGACTATATCGGTGTATGTATATATATATATATATATATATATATATATATATATATATATATTAGTGTGTGTACAGGATATTCCTGGGGACTTGCTTCAGGACTTGCAAGCATGCTGTCTTTCAGTAGTGTATTCTCTTTTACAATAAACCTCTCTTTCTTTCATCTATGCCCATGTTGATCTTCCTTCACTTGAGTACGACCTTTGTCTGTTTTTTAACCTTCTTTATGTATACAACAATGACTAAGGATGAAAGAATCAGAGAGGGCAATAAAAGAACAGGGTTTAATGATTGGCATTGTATTTAAGGTAAGGTAAATATCCTTGCTTCGGGAATCACTAGCCTGCTACTCGATACCCTGTTTTTCAGTAGTGTGTTCTCTTTTACAATAAACCTCTTTCTTTCATCTACGTCCGTGTTGCTGTTCCTTTCACTCGAGTACTATCTTTGTCTTTTTGTAACCTTTAACTCTTTAAGAATCCAACATAATTCTTATTTTATTTTACGACAATTTTTTAAAGATTTTTGTAGCTATGCTTTATACGCACCCCTGATTACGCTTATTATATTTTAGAAAAAAAATGCGTATTATACATGGGGAATTACGGCAAATATTATACGGTAGTCCCGAACTCTTTCCTTTATTTCTAAGGATATTTTCCTGGAATCTTTCAGATAGACGTTCCAAAATAATCTGATTTGTTTTTACGGCTTATCAGCCTGTTGCAACAATTTATTTAAAGCCAGAAAATATGATGTGATCTTGAGAATTTTTGGCGATAATAATGCTTTACTGATACCAGTCCATAACTTTCCCAACTGTATTTGCGCCTTTTTTTGGAGGGGGGGATCCAAAAATTTAAGGCACTGGGCGATTTCTTTCGCCCTGTTCGGAGATCTCTGGTGCTTTCTTTTTTCTGTTTTTTTCATTTTTCCTCGGATGCCAAAATTGTGGTATTCAAGTTTTTTCACCCACCGAATTGAAACAAATTTATATATATATATATATATGCTTACACACATCATACTCACTCACTCACTAAGAACCAAATAACACACACACAAACTTAATAGAGACACATCCCCTTTCCAGAAACCAATAAAACTGTCAGAATGACCAAGGGAATTCAGAGGAGCATGAATCCATCTAGCTCTCATCTCAAATAACAACTTAAAAGAGACTGTTTGACCAACACAAGGACTGACCAAAATTCGTGTTAAAAAATAAAAAAACAAATGAAAACTACAGACAAAAGTTCATTTTCTCCATCCAAACATTCATTTCTGTAGTTCACTGCTACCAGCAAGCAGAAAATTATTTTTCTCCTGATGATGTCCATGTTGGCCGAAACTAGTAAAAGAATCTAAATGAAATAATAACGAAAGAATATTTATATACAACCCAGTGTGTTGGAAGATTTTAATTTTTTAATATTTTTATTGTTCAATATATATATATATATATATATATATATATATATATATATATATATATACTGCGTGCCAAATTATTATCGAGATAACTTTTTTAATATTTCAAAAACCGTTCAATCAATTCAGAAAAATTTTCACACAATGTTTGCAACACTGATGCGGCGGAATCACTGAAATTTTCGTACTGATCTGCGCAAGACCCCCCATAGAGGAGAGCATGACTAAAGACTGTGTGTACGCTATCCCGTGCAGCTGCAGAAAGGAATATAAAGGAGAGACAGCCCCCCCCAGGTAAGGCTTCAAGAACACCAGAAAGCTGTAAAACGAGGGGAAGTAGAAAAATCAGGCGTGGCTGACCACATATGGAGAGAGAAGGGAGATCACCACCCCCTGTGGGATCATGTTGAGATCATTGACAAGGAACATCATTGGAAAATTCGTAAACTTAAGGAATCAGCACATATTCTAGGCCACAAAAATTTCCTGAGCCGACCAAGCATAGAAATAAATACAATATGGGAACCAGTAATAAGGAGTGCCAGAGAAAAACAATGATAACAACAAAGTTGCAATATGAGCTCTGGTAAAAAACATAAATGATAACAGCAAAATTGCAATATGAGCACTGGTAATAATGGTTGCTGAAGACATTAGGTTTATAATACCCAGAAATTCATCCTCAAGGACACATGGCACAGTAGATAAAGGCGTTGGTTAGATCCAGTGACAGAACACAAAGAGTGTGGGTTCAATACCCGGTTAAGGCAGTGCAGAACTTTCAGAGGGAATTTAACAAGAGATAATTGACATCCATCAAACATGGCACGTGGAACGAGAACAGTCTACCCCAGTGAGTGAAATAAAGGGTTCAGTTCGACATTCCAACCACCTGAAGAAGGCCGGAGCGTACAACGGCCGAAACGTTGTGATGAATATGACAATAGTCCGAATAATATATATATATATATATATATATATATATATATATATATATATATATATAAAGTATAGGGTTGGTGTATACGGAATAAATTCCAATAACCAACAATTACTATTCAACATCATCGCTTGATAAGAGGTGTTGAAACAAAATGACTATCTTTGCAGTGATTTTATGACATATTTATGTTATAATTTCTAAATAAATAATTATATATATATATACTCAATTTATGGTTTAACGGATATAAAAACTCAAAGGGCATAACGAAATGTAGTGATGCGTTAAATAATACTATCATAACACCAATACTGTAGGAATCACATTACAAAACAATTGACAAACAAGTTCCTTGTTTTATCTTAGTACCATTTCTTCACTTTGAAAACCCGAATATTAAAAAGTTTTACATTGGCAGTACTAAAACTACATTTAAACGCCGTTGGTATCAGCATGTTTTTTCCTTCAAAAATAGTTCTTATAAACATGCTACCTCACTGTCCAGATACTATTGGTGCTTAATGGAGAAAAACAAAACTCCCACTGTTAAATAGAAGTTAATTGGAAGAGCTCGTACATCTAATTCTTTATATGCACCATGTTATCTTTGTCTCAATGAAAAGCTAGAAATCATAAGATTTAAGGACAATATAAACCTTTTAAATCAAAGAAAAGAGCCCACTGTTAAATGCAGGCATAAATTACCTTTTAAATTACTTTCTAGCTAGATAGAATATTGTATATAAAGATGAAATGGTATTTAAGTGTGTAAAAAAATTTTTATCCTTATGTTTTCGATTATTAATGTTTGTGCAATTTTGACGGGTAGTTTGCGTTGTCTCTGTAGTTATGTTGGAAGATTGAATCTTAATGAATCTGTTTGTCGTTCGTATATTTGCGTGCTCATATATTCAATCACATTTATGTGTTTGCCTATTAAGACGTGATGTATGTATGTCAAGTCACAAATAAACCTTTCTCCCTTGTCCACTAAACATATCATCACGACCCTGTCAATGTAACTGACTATAGAGCTATATATATATTGCACATCTTAGTACCGCACAGATTCCGAGAAAAATTTAACCTATTTCTAAGAACAATACTTGAAAATTTAAGCCTATATATATATTTTTAAGCGTTTCATCCCAAGCAAGGCGGGAAGCCACTAGCACGCAAGCGGTTACAGAGAATTGGAGTGAGACCAAATAGGAGTGATAGAGGAAAGGAGGAAGAGAAGGATAGGGGATAGATCAAGGCATTTAGAGACGTCGATTGACATTACATTTGAATAGTTGGAGATTATAGCTATCAGCGAAACAAGAAAAGGTGGAGTTCCACAGGCGAGAAATGCGAGACATGAAGCTATTAGAGTAGAAGAGACGGCTAGATTTAACCATTTCGATAGTGAAAGGGTGAGAGAGAGATGCCAGCCAAGTTGAATGTTTAAATTCATGAAGTCTGGGTTTCAGTGAAAGCAGCTCATCGGAGCAGTTATCGTGTAAGTATTGATAGAAAAGACAGAGGGAGGCGACTGCACGTCTGTGAGAGACCGACTGCAGACGAGATGCCAGATCAGGGCCAATTACATTGCATATCCGTCTCTGGATTTTTATCTCGGACCTTGAGACAAACAGAAGGGGCTTCAGACCATATATGGCAGCAATACACCAGTTCTCCGTTTTCTCTTTGAATAATTTTGTTAGTTTCTAAACATAATGCATGTTTACATTCAGAGTTTAATATGCGTAACTTTTATCCTTTAATTACATATTAATTGGAGATTAATTAGTTATCCTGATTTCCAATGAAATCTAACCGATATTACATAACAGTTCAGTACTCTTTTCTTTGTTTCGCTTGCTTCAATTCTCTTCTTCATATGTGAGAAGATTGTCCAGCATTCACTGCCAAATACGAGGACTGATATTACATAGCACTTTTTTAAAAAAATACTAATTATGTCTAAAATAGCAGTTTTGAATCAATCGATTTTATTTTATCGAATTTCGTCTAAAATATTTCTTCCTTTTTTTGCAGATGGTGTCGATGTATTCAAGAATTACTTGAAATCCCAATACTGCGATGAAAACATTGACTTTTGGTTGGCTGTTGAGAAGTTCCGAAATTTAGAAGATGATGAACTTGATAGACAAGCCAACATCATCTTAAAAACATTTGTCGCCAGAAATGCAGCTCGTGCTGTAAATATATCTTTTTTTTCTCGTTTGCTAGTTATACAAACGTAATTCGGCTTCTTGCTTTCTTTGCATCCCTTCTACCTCTCTTATTCAGTCTTTCTTTCTTTCTTTTTTGCATCCCTTCTACCTCTCTTATTCCGTCTTTCTTTCTTTCTTTTTTGCATCCCTTCTACCTCTCTTATTCAGTCTTTCTTTCTTTCTTTTTTGCATCCCTTCTACCTCTCTTATTCAGTCTTTCTTTCTTTCTTTTTTGCATCCCTTCTACCTCTCTTATTCAGTCTTTCTTTCTTTCTTTTTGCATCCTTCTATCTTATTCAGTCTTTCTTTCTTTCTTTTTTGCATCCCTTCTAACTCTCTTATTCAGTCTTTCTTTCTTTCTTTTTTGCATCCCTTCTACCTCTCTTATTCAGTCTTTCTTTCTTTCTTTTTTGCATCCCTTCTACCTCTCTTATTCAGTCTTTCTTTCTTTTTTGCATCCCTTCTACCTCTCTTATTCAGTCTTTCTTTCTTTCTTTTTTGCATCCCTTCTAACTCTCTTATTCAGTCTTTCTTTCTTTCTTTTTGCATCCTTCTACCTCTCTTATTCTGTCTTTCTTTCTTTCTTTTTGCATCCCTTCTACCTCTCTTATTCAGTCTTTCTTTCTTTTTTTTGCATCGCTTCTACCTCTCTTATTCAGTCTTTCTTTCTTTCTTTTTGCATCCCTTCTACCTCTCTTATTCTGTCTTTCTTTCTTTCTTTTTGCATCCTTCTAACTCTCTTATTCAGTCTTTCTTTCTTTCTTTTTTTGCATCCTTCTACCTCTCTTATTTAGTCTTTCTTTCTTTCTTTTTGCATCCCTTCTACCTCTCTTATTCAGTCTTTCTTTCTTTTTTTGCATCCCTTCTACCTCTCTTTATTCAGTCTTTCTTTCTTTTTTTTTTGCATCCTTCTAACTCTCTTATTCAGTCTTTCTTTTCTTTTTTTGCATCCCTTCTACCTCTCTTATTCAGTCTTTCTTTCTTTTTTGCATCCCTTCTGCCTCTATTATTCAGTCTTTCTTTACATCACCTCTACCACTATTATTCAGTGTACATAATGTAAATAGTGTACATAATACCTCATCTCAGAAATATAGACAGATACTGAAAGGTCGAAATAGTGAACATAATACCTCATCTCATAAATACAGACAGATACTGAAAGGCCGAAACGTTGTAATACATATGGCGACAAAGATGAGGACAATAGTCCGAATAATGTAAATAGTGTACATAATACGTAATCTCCGAAATATAGACAGATACTGAAGGGCCGAAACGTTTTGATATGGTGACAAAGATGAGGACAATAGTCCGAATAATGTAAATAGTGTACAAAATTCTTCATCTCAGAAATATAGACAGATACTGAAGAAACTATCAGTATAGAACTTACGGTTGCATCCAACCATTTCGACTGTAAAATGATGAAACTGCCAGTCTAGTATTATGCATAAATTAATTTCTGCAAATTTTTCATCTTCGATTTAAAATGTATACCTCCGTTTATTCCTTATTTAAAAGTAATCCTTCTCGTAAAAAAAAAAAATTATGCGTAAAACAGCTATTTCCAGTAACTCTGTAAAATTCAGGGATCGATTTTATACTATATCGATGTCATGGACATGATCTCCTCTTCTAAACTGATAAAAATATGTCATTATTTATTAAGGTACTATATAAACAGACTAGTACACTCGTAAAAAAAAAAAAAAAAAAAAAATGAACCCCCAGAAATAGGAATTCGTGCGGGTGCATATTAGCATTTATTAGATTTTCCCGAGGCCACGATACTTGTCAAAATCGAAACATATTGATTTTCTTTTCGTTTTAGAAGGTTTGGGTGTCCTGTTCATAATATCGATATAGTTTAAAATCGATGACTGACTTTTACAGAAACATTGAACTCCGCTGCTCCACATACAAAAACAGATTTTATTTTTAGGGAAGGACAGAAATATTTCTTTTAAATAAAGACAAACCAAAGGTTGTATGTATTTTTAATTCAAGAACAAATAATTAAATAAAATTATGTGTCCATCTATTTTCCATTTAAAATATAATTAACCTCGAATGTGTGTGGATGTGTTTCTGAAAAAAAATCAAATGCAAAAAAAAAATTTAGAAGATAAAAAAAATATGCAAATACCATGATGTTACCATATTTTCACACTTGATATTTGAAAAAAGTCAGAGATCAAATTAATTTTATACTATATTGATATTGGAAACAGAACCCACAATCGAAATCGATAAAAAGAAAATCAAAATTTTTTGATTGTGACAAGTGCCACGACGTAACGAATGATAATGTACAAAAATTATTTTCAAAATATTTGCCTCTATTTTTTTCAAGTGGACAAGTCTATATAAGTTGTGCCGTAGACTCTTTAAATATTATATAGAAACGAAGGTTCATAGTGTAACTTACTGAAACCGAAGTGAACATATCTATTTTATTTATTAAGAGCAGAGATACTGAATGTTGCTTGGGAACTAATTTTATCTAAATAAAAAGACAAATAAACAGACACTTCATTTTATTTGTATAGATTATTAAAAAGACTAAGGGAAATAACCGCGCATTAATTTATTACCAAAAGTTGATTTACCTCCCTTACTACTACATTTTTGCGTGGGAATGAATATTGAAATTTCATGAGAAATGGTTTCTTTGATCTAATTTTTTGTGACCTTCATGGCTGACCGAGGTCAACTTAACATAGTCAGTGACACTGTTTGGCTCATAGCCTACCTATATGCAAAGTTTGTTCGAAAGATTACGGAAATAATAAATGAAATAGACAACAGTTGCCCATCCTGGGTATGACGATAAACTACATTCGCGTCCAGGGTTAGACAATAAACTATGTCCAACAGTTTGAGGCTTTGAGGAGCATGGAACCTCCTCTTAATTGCTGGTGTTCCCAGGACCACCCTGACCCGGGGTGGTAGCACCTGTAAGGGTCCCAGCTATGGGCAAATTGGGTTAACTCCGAAACTGAGGTAAAAAAAAAGCATTATAAATGAGTAAAAATAGGTTTTAATACCAGAAATACTTGATAAAAAACTATTACCAGAAATAAATTTTTGAAGAAAAATATTACCAGCAATACGTTTTTGAAAAAAACTATTACCAGCAATAGATTTTTTTTGAAAAATATTACCAGCTATACGTTTTTGAAAAAATAATATTACCAGCTATACATTTTTGAGGAAAAAATATTAACAGGAACAGATTTTTGACAAAACAAAAATATTACCAGGGAAAAAAAAGTTGTCGGCATTAAATGACCCATTGAGGTTGATATGCCGTGAAACAAAATAAACCAAACCCAACAACAGTTGCGTCCAGAAGACCTTAGTAGATACATTTTAGTAGCGCTGCCCCAAGAAACCAGGTGCAAATGAATGCGAGCTCCATAGGACAGTCAGCTTAATGAGCCACATAACAAAGCTTATCATTCAAATTGTGACGAAGAGAGCGTGGAAATGAATTAGACAACTGGTGTGGACCCAAAGTTGGGGCCACGGAAGGAAAACACGGAACACGGATTAGAGGTAAGAAAGATATATTAAACAAAAAGGTTACAAAGATAGTGTAAGTGTAAGCGAAGCTTACTATGTGCTAGTGTCCAATATTGGTAGTCGTACGCGGCTGATACTACGGTATTAGAATTTTCTCTCTCCCCCTCTTCTTCTTCTTCTCTCTAGAGTGTTATGTCGCATACTTTATATAGTCCTGGAAGAGTACATATTGTAGGTATGTTACGGTCTCACAATAACAACAACAAAAAAAGACAAGAACAGAGTAGTTTTTGTTTAAGGACATTGGAATTATAATGAAAAAAATGCTATATTTATGATTAATAACAGAAATGCAATACAAACGTGGAAGGACGTATTCTATGTTTCATAGACGATTCAGAATCATTTGATAAGGTAAGACACAAAGTTTTGTTTGAACTGCTAGGGAAACTTTATTTTGAAAAGATTTTAGAATAATCCAGAACCTACCAACCACCTACATGCAGATAGAAAATGGATTGAGTAGGTACGCAAAAATAGAAAGGGTCATAAGACAAGGACGTGTCTTCTTGCCGGATTTACTAAACCTTTAAGAAGCAATTCTAAAAGGACAAAATCTCCTAACAGGGTTTATTGTTTGCCGGCACAATTTTAACAACATAAGATATGCAGATGACACTGTGATGATGGCGCACACACAGGAAGGAAATTGCTGGGATTACGAGAAAAGGTAGGAAAATAAAGTGAGAAAAAAGTAATATCAATTTTTAAATCGATTTCACCCCAAAGCAAGGCAGCAAAGACATTGGGACACATGGGGTTACTGGGTGTGGGAGAATTTAGGAAACAGAGACTTAACTAAGGAGCGAGAACAAAAGAAAAGTAATCAGGAGGACAGTATATAGTAATTGACATTGCATTTAAATTTTTGAATATCTGGAAAGCGTGGAGCTGAAAGAGAGTTCCACAAGCTAGAGGTGCGACAAAAGAAACTTTTATTAGAACTTACTTACGCCAGCCGAACTGCAAATTGGTGAGATCCTGTCGCTCGTCTAGTATTGTACTTAAATTCATAAAGTCTATGTATCATAGTGAAGAGCTAGTTCGGACAATTGCCATGGAAATATTTATAGAAAAGGCACAGGGAGGCAACTTTATGGTGGTGAGAAATTGACTGAAGCTGGGACGCAAAACACACACCCACAAAAATTAAAATTATGAATTCGTATTTTCAGAATTTTTAAATTTAAAAAAAAAAAAAATTAAATTACGAAAATATTAAAAATTTTAAACATACGAAATAAAAAAATTAAAAATTAAAAAATTAAAAATAAAAAAATAAAAATCCAATATAAAAACACGCCCCCAAAATCAAAATTATGAATTCGTATTTTCAGAATTTTAAAATTTAAAAAAAAAATTAAATTACAAAAATATTAAAAATTTTAAAAATACGAAATAAAAAAATAAAAATCCAATATAACAACACGCCTACAAAATCAAAATTATGAATTCGTATTTTCAGAAATTTAAAATTTAAAAAAAAAAAAATTACAAAAATATTAAAAATTTTAAAAATACGAAATAAAAAAATTAAAAATTAAAAGATAAAAATCCAACATAATAACACGCCCCAAAAATCAAAATTATGACTTCGTATTTTCAGAATTTATTTCTAATAATCGTTTTATTTTCATTTTCATTCCAGGTTAACTTGAAAGCTCCGGCCAGGGAACAAGTCATAAAAGCGGCGGGAAAGGAAATCACCCGTAGTGTCTTTGACGAAGCACAGAGAGAAATCTATGAATTCATGATGCGAGACCCTTACGTTCGATTCCTTCAATCGGAAGCCTATGCTGAAGCCTGCAAATAATTGATATCCGTAAACCAGGCTAAGGATTTTCAAATAATATCGATTTTGCATTTTTATCTTTTTCTTTTTTTAACCAACCTTATCTTCGGTCGTCACCCGCTAATTCTAGAATTCAACCACCGCTTGATGTTATTAAATGTACAGCACGATACCGTTTGATTATCAATGTGTTCATTTTTTTTATTTGTAATCAAAGAAAATGATAAAAATATTAAAAAGTCCTCAAAAAAAATATAAACGGTGTCCTTTGATTAATTTATAAATCATCGTCGTGGGCCGTCAGCCAAATAAAGATTTATTAAGTTCAGCTCAAAAAGAATGCATAAACATAAAAATGTCTTTAAAAAATTGTCGGACTTTGTCCATTTCATAAAGTGTGGCGTCATTTGTTTACATTTGGATACGCTTTGAGCAGACAAGCTTGCTAACCATTACACCGCCTCGGAGTGTCTAATTTCAAATAGAGTATATCTGTAAAATGATAATATAAATAAAGATAAAAGAAAAACTTAGCCGACGCCTTTGTTCTTCCGATGGACTTTTCACATATGGCTTGATATAGTCCCACAAATGTGTTATATATATATATATATATATATATATATATATATATATATATATATATATATATATATATATATATATTTGCTGTGAAGTAAATAGCACACACCCGGTAACACAAATGAACTTGGCAAGACGCCTTAAAGAACTCCAAATGAATCAGGTTAGTACGTCAGAGTAAGTCAGGAGATTTTCTAACATGGGCGAGTAGCTTAAGCAATACATAATATTATAACTGTTAGGCTCTAGTTGTAAACAGTGGCGACGAAGGATCGAAACTCATACGGGGTAGGAAAAAATATTCCCTCTCCTCATTATATGCCCTTGAAATTTCAACTGTCTCTTCCTGAGGTTATGTTAAACTGTCTTTTTTGTTTTTATTTCCAGCATTCCTATTTATGATTGTTATTGCAATATTTTGTTAAAGTTGCTAAGATCAAATATTTAACGATACAATAGGGGAATTTCTACGGAGATTTTATTGCCGTAGAACTCGCCATGAGCTTATTGAATCAACTTAAGAATTAAAATTCCCTGCTCGTAGGTTGACGAAATCCACTAGAAATCTTTTCTGAGAGGTGGCATGCTAATTTCAAATCTTTTCATTTGTACCCCCTTACTTCTTTAACTAACGACCAGCATTCATATTGATGATTGTTATTGCAATATTTTGTTAAAGTTTTTAAGATAAAATATCTAATGATACGATAGAGGAATTTCTATGGATATTTCATTGTCATAGAACTTGCCATGAGTTTATTCAATAATTGACTGAAGAATTAAGATTAATCAGAAAATTCAAATAGGTAAATCATGAAATTTTCACAGCTCTTTCTCAATGTTTTCCTTTTATGCTGTTTCGGAAAGAAAGAAAGAAAGGAAGCTAAAATTGCTGAGAGAAAGAAAGAAAGAAAGAAAGAAAGAAAGAAAGAAAGAAAGAAAGAAAGAGAGATTAGGCTGGTGAAAACAGATACTACACTTTGATCTTAGCCAAAAGTCCGAGAAGAGAGGTACAAACAGGAGCTAGTTGTAAACAGTGGCGACGAGGGGTCGAAACTCATACGGGGTAGGAAAAATACTTTTTGCTTCGGTGCACATGATAATAGTGACAAAGAGAAATTAGAAGCGTTGGTTTAATTTTGTTTTTTCTCTTTGGTGTGCATAAAAATGAAAAGAAAAGAGACAAATCCTCAGATATTCTTCAATTATGGAAGAATTATTAGCCGAAGTGGTAGAAATACAACAACAGTAACAGCAACAACAGCAGTTGTTGGAACTCCAGAAACAACAAACTTTAATTGAAATAAAACGGAAGAAAACAATTTCAAGTTCTTTCACTCCAAATTCGGTGGCAAATGCCATATATGATTTCACATACAATTCAGATTATGGAACTACCTTTTCTGCTTATTTTAGATGATACGAGCAAATTTTCAGAAGAATTGCACCGACTAAGAAGACGAGAAAATGAGAAGACTTTAGTTGAGAACGTTAACACCGTTATAAAGTCCAGAGGAAATTATTGCGAATTTAAACGATGGTAATTTATTTTTTCGAACCTGGATTTTTTTTTTTTTTGTATTTGCACAAGGGATATGATACTGCTTAGGTAGGTGAATTTCTGAACCACACCCATCTATTTGGCCCATGGGTTTAAAAGACGAATGATAGTTTTTTGGGGATGAAATCTCATAGTATTTCGGGGGTGAAGTTGTACAATAAGAATTGTGACCAGAAATAATCTTTTAAGCAATCCAGATTTCTTCTTTTTCTATGTGTCGTAAACCTTCAGGACGTAGGCGATCATAGCTCTCCACAAGTTCCTGTGCTTTGCTGCACTTAATAAATTTTTTGTCTTTTTGTTTTATCTCCTAGAGAAGGTTAAAGAAGAATGTTTAGAGTAAATAGCTATAAATACGCACAAGGGATTGTATAAGTCCAACAGACTTCCTTTTGGGATAAAAATGGCTCCAGCTATACTTTCGGATTGTGATTTCGCAGTTGCTTATCTGGCTGATGTATTGATTAAAAGTGTAAAATAAGAAACAACATATCGGGAACGTGAAAAAGAGCTTTTGAAAAATACGTGAGTACGGGTTAAAACTTAATGAGCAAAAGTGAATTGTTTTTGCCTAAAATCAAGTCATTAGGACAAATCATTGACAAAAGTGGCCGTCAGACAGATCTGCCATGAGTAAGTGCAATTAAGGATATGCCTCCTCTAACAAATGTTACTACATTACAAGCATTTCTAGGATTAGTAAACTATTATCAAATTTATATCCCTAATATTCAGAATTTGAGAGCTCCGCTGAACAATTTGCTTAAAAGAGCGTAAAGTGGGACTGTATTGATAAGTGTCAGAGGGTGTTTGAAGAAAACAAGAAAATACTAAAGTCAAATTTATCATTAGCGCACTCCGATCCAAAAGCAGAAATCGTATTGGCTTCAGATGCTAGTGACTATGGTATAGGAGCAGTAATTCTACATAAATGGTAACGTGAAAGCCGCCACATATACTTCGCGTTCGCTTCTATCGGTAGAAAAAAAAAACTACAGCCAGATCGAAAAAGAGACGTTAGCAATATTTGTAGTGGAAAAATTTCACAAATTTATACGGAAGGAGTTTTCGTTTGCAGACAGACCATCGACCTCTATTATCAATTAATGGTTAAAAAAAAAAAAAAAAAGCAATTCCTATGCATACAGCGAATAAATTACAACGTTGGTGTACCATCTTATTAAATCACGATTTCAGCATGGAAGACCAACCATCCTCAAAATTAGGACATGCTGATGGTTTATCAAGATTGATACCAAAAAATACGGAACCATTTGAGGTCACATTGCGGTATTAAAAAGTGAAAGTGGAAACTTTTGAATCAGAAATCCGAAGTCTTGAGTCTTTGCTTACATATTAGGAAATTCCTCTTAAGCACATGGCTTGGTAAAAAAATGTAATTTCAATTAATCGCCCTCATCGATACATTTATAATACCCTTGCTTTTCTTCTCTTCCCCCTTCTTCTTCTTCTTTCTTTTCTTCATATCCCCTTCTTCCCTTTCTATTACAACCAGCATCATGCGTTTGTTTATTTCTGAAAATAATAATAGAGCGTTCATTAGTTTTTTAAAAAAGTAAAGCGTTAAGAGGTCATTTGATAAAAATTGCCTGAGGAGACCGTAAAGTTGAAACCAAGGTAGCGGATTTAACTGACCTCATGATTTTTTAAGTTAAAAGCTCTACTAGTTACTTTTATTTTATTTTTTCACGCGTGTATTGAATACTTTTTAATACTACTGTTCTCTGGTTTGATTCAACTCTGACCATTAATATACACACACACGTGTGTGTGTGTTCTGTGTGAGTTTGAAAGCATCCGGTTTCGTTTGTAACTTCAGTGACTGATTAAAGTTACGACGCAGACATTTTCTCGCCAGTCGGAAAGTTGGTCTGCTTTTCAAACAACCCGACAGAAATGAACCTGACTTTTGTTCAAGGACATTCCACTTTCGAATTAAATTTATTAAAAGTTGTTTTCGCACGAGCTTGACCTTTCGGCCATTTACGTAAATATAAACAATATATATGCGCATATTTGAGCATTTTTTCCGCTTACTAAACACACACACACACACACACACACACTGAATACTTTATACTTGCCAGTTGATTTACACATAAGAATTCTAATTTCAAACAAACACGCATTATATATATATATATATATATATATATATATAACTGAAGAACAACCTTTCTTGTGTCAGCATTACATTCAAGAACTTTGAAGAGGTAGATATGAAGAGATCAGTGTATCGTTCCAGCTGCCATTCAGGAATAAAGCAACATCAAGAACTAAGCATCATTCGACTGCGTGAAACACAAAAGCGAAATAAAACAGTTAACAGTGTTCCTGCTGCACTTGCATGAAATACTTTCTCTTGTACTGTTTGTGGTCTTTTGTGAAATTCTTGAGCTGGTCTCAAAAGTCATGGCCATCATAGATAATTAGTAGGTGATTGTCAGAACCTTATACGTTGAACTCGACGTGAGAGTCCATCATATATATATATATATATATATATATATATATATATATATATATATACACACAAGAATTTATTCACTAGCTCAATCACTAAATCTACTTTCAAAATCTACCACGATTCTAACTGTAGTCATAACATAATTTACCTCCTAGAATGCACACTATGCCAGAAACAATATGTAGGAAAATCTGAATGGCCCTTTCAGTATAGAATTAATAATTATCGCAATCGAATTAAGTCGACACCCCATGAAAAATTATTACCTGTAGAACAACATTTCCGCCTGGAAAAACACGATTTCAAAACCCATGCCAAATTCACTATAATTGAGAGAATAGAAAAGTTCAGAGCAGATAACATTACAAAGATTTTAGAGTCCCATGAAAA